CTGTAACTCTTATTTTTGGCCTTTTTGTCTTAATTTTTGAAATTGGCCCAAAGGATGATCTTTGCAAAATAGATGCACCAACGGAATGTTTGTGGTTGTCTTCTTCAACAATTGGTGTCGAAGACCAAATACTGAAAATTGAACTTTGTGGGTCAATTTTTTTTCGTTTTTCACGACGAATTTCACCGTTGTGATCAAAATTCTGAGAAGAACAAGATGGTGCTAATTTGGAGATGCAATTTGAACTGAAAAATATTTTATAAAATTGCTTCCAACGATATAATTCAGCCTCACTTTCGGTAAGGTTCGAAACAAAGCACTACCAACGGTTATTTTTTTTGGATAGTTTTCTATGAATACAATACGTTAGTAATGATTAAATAAACAAACGAAATTAACCAAAGTTGAAGACTGACGGTTGATTATTTTCTGAATTTTTGGTAAAAACTTTTTGGAAAATTAATTCGACATCTGCGATTATGTGTACAACCTTGCTCTGATACCACTGTAAGATTAACTTAACAATGGCAATGGATCGAAGTTCCCGTGAGGGTGTTTAATCACGAAGAAGAAAATAATATGAAAGAGGAAAAACAAAGAGAAAAATGCAAGTGTCTTGAACTTATGTATTGTCCATATATTTATAGCATATGGTAGCTGTTAAGTAATGGTTACAACTTATTAAAATTCAAACTCAATGGTCACCATGTTTCTAAACATTGTGACTCTTCATTCAAATCTTAAACTTCCTACTTCCAGTAACTTCTTCCTGCGGAAAGATTGAATCACCATATAAACCTTCGAATTGGTGTGAGAGGGTCCACCATATTATGGTGTGATCACCACTCATACCTTCAGTTAGGCATATGAACAAGATCGAACCCCTGAGCAATGGACTGGGTGGAACCGTTTTGGAGACGCACAAATGAATCACCAACTTCTTGTCTCTCTTGATTTCCACAAGCAAACTGTTGAAAGTCGCAGCCATGAGGCAAGTCATGCGCACGTTAGTGCTTCGGCTAGGGTGGCAGAAGTGGCATAGATAGATCTAACATTGCCATCAATGAGTTGCGTTTGAGAATCTCCGATGACATTGGCTATGGTAGGGCTATTTTAATTTTTGATTATTTTAATAGGTTAAAATATTTGTTTTTGGAAAGAGGAAATTTTTTCATAGTTGGATATGATGTTTGTGACAAAAAAAGTAAAATAATTATGAATTTGATGTGACATTTTTTCTTATTAACTATTTTAGTCTATTTTATTTTTATTTTTTTGTAAATTTAGCCAAAAATAACCAATTTATGGCTGCATCACAATTGATTTTAAGGCCTCGTTTGGCAAGTACTCCCTCTGTCCCAAAATAATGGTCCCTTTTGGGGAATCTAACTTTTTTTGGTAGTACAATTATTGTATTTGAAAAAAGTTGATTTTCCAAAATTATCCTTTTGATAGTACATTTTTTGAGAATATCAATGCATAATTGTACTTTTTATGTTGTTTATTAATTTAAAAGAAGGGTAAAATAGGAAATTTATATTATTTTTGTACTTGATTTTTGAAGAGGGACTAATATTTTGGGACAATGAAAAATGAAATAAGGGACTAATATTTTGGGACGGAGGGAGTAATAATTTTAGCCTAAAAGTCAAAAAGTTATTAAAAATATCAAAAAGCCTATAACCTATGCACTCGTTTGGGAAGAAGGTATAGGTTGGGTTTGGGGCTATTTTAGCTATAAAAAGACAAAATAGGTTTTTTAGCTCAATAAAACAAAACACATCCAATCCATAATCATTACATTGTTTTTCTCACAAAAAGTCAAAAAAGCCAAAAAACTTATCCCAAACCAGGGTAAAGTCAAAAAAGCCAAAAAACTTATCCCAAACGAGACATTTTAACCTTAGGCTAAAATAGTTAAAAAGTCAAAATGCCAACTCACTTCCCAAACGAACTTATATCAAAAAGTCAAAACTTTTTTTTTCTCTTTATTTTTTGCACATCTTTTTGTAAAAAAAATAAAAAAATTATTCTAAACATACTAATTTTTTTTACTTTATATTTTAATCAAAAAATTAAAAAATTTATTAAAATAATATATTTCCAAACAAAGGCCAAGTTTTGCATGACAAACAGGAATCCAGCCCAAAAGACTAAAGTGCATAGAAATGACCTTCACCTGGGAAAGGCTGGGTGGAGGTTGAAGGAAGTCAGCCCGCCGCGTCTTTCCAAGACTGGGAGATATTCATTACAGGTTTTCCATATGCAACCGTGATTGATTTAGAGCTCTAAATCAGTTCTGAACAACTGGCAACCAAACCAAAACAAAAAACCAAACCGAAAAACAAAAAATTAAAACTAAAATATCACATCATTTTGTAGATCCCACCTCCGAGTTCTATTTAGAGCTTTTTTCTAGATCTCCCAAACATTTCTTTTCCACATGAACCAGCCTAAGGGCATAGTTAACAAAATCCAAAAAAATAAAGGGACAATTACAATAAAAAATAATAATTTAAAGTTTGATTTTTATAATAAAATAAATTTTTAATTTTATCAATTTAATTTTTAAATTTTTAAATTTGATTTGTTTTCAATCTAAATTATTTGTTTATTTTTATTAAGTAAAATCGATCGAAATAATACTTTAGCTTGCCACTGGCTTCCCTCTAGTTCCAAATCAGACTGGAGGGTGCTATTGGGTCTGTGGGGGCTCATCCCCTTTCAATAATCCAAACCGTTTAATGTGTAGAACTCGTCGAGTACTATATGCCTGAAAAATATCATGTTGATCAGATGTCGATAGCTATGTGATCAAATCAGTTTTGTATTAAAAAAATAGATAGTAAAAAAATAAACGATTGATAGAAAACTGATTTGATGAGATAGTTATCGATATCTTATTAACGTGATTTTTTATAAGTATATAATACTCAATAAGTTCTACACATTAAACGATTTGAATTATCAAAACAGGACCCATGGTGAACCTCCACGGGCCCAACAACAACCTCTAGTCTGATCTGGAACTAGAGGGAAGCCAGGCCCTTTTAGTTTTACCTAATGAAAATACATGAATGTTTTGATTGAAAACAAATTAAAAAATTAGAGTTTAAATAACAAAATTGAAAGCATAGGATTTATTTTGTTAAAGAATTCAAACCTGGGTTTTTTTGTTTTTGTAATTGTTCCAAAAATAAACCATCTAGTTTTCAAATCATTATTATCGTCATTTTTTTGTGTGTGTATGTATATGACAAATACACTAAATCATGAGGCTGTCATTATCGATATCCGATTATGAAATAACTATTGATATCTTATTAATGTGATTTTTTAAAAGCTTATTCTCAATAAGTTCTACACATTAAATGGTTCAGATTATCGAAACCGTGGTGGACCCCCACGGGCTCAACAGCACCCTCCAATCTAATCTGAGACTGGAGGAAGCCAGGCCCTTTTAGTTTTACCTAATAAAAATACGTGAATGTTTTGATTGAAAACAAATTAAAATATTAGAGTTTAAATAACAAAATTGAAAACTTAGAATTTATTTTACTGAATAAATCAAACGTGGGTTTTTTTTTTTTTTTTTTTAATTGTTTCAAAAATAAGCCATCTAGTTTGCAAATCATTATTCTTGGCATTTTTTTGTGCTTGTATGTATGTGACAAATACACTAAATCATGACACTGTCATTATCGAATTAATTTGATTGTTTTGTTATTTAATTACTTTTTAGACTTAAAAATTTAAATGAATTAGATCATCAAAATAGAGTCCACGAAAACCCCAGGATTCGACAATACATAGGTACAAGCCCAACCCAAAAAATAAATATATCAGGTGACAACAGTAGATTTTGACCGCCTCATTTGGAATTGCTTATAAGCCAATTTTTCTTTTAAATTGTTTGTCATGCTCGATCACAGGTAAAAAGTCAACTTAAATCACTTTAAAAAGTCAATAAAAAGTTTTTTAAAAAAATGTCAAATGAATTAACTGTTTAAAGCACTTAACTTACGTGTGAGATTATTTTCAGTCGATAAACTAACTTATAAAACGATTACCAAAGGAGATTTTTTTGACATTTTTTAGAATTTAAAACAGTTAATATGTTTGAGATTTTTTTTTTTGTGAAATAGTCAAAAACTTTTTTAATTTAATTAATTTTTCTTTTCACTCTTACCACTCTTTCCAAGCATACTTGTGTTTTTTGATTTTTTAAAACCCAAAAGCAACCTTTTTAGTATTAATTGGACAATCGCTTAATCCTATTCTAAATTGGAGAAGACGAGGCTGACTGCTAGGGCTGTGAGCAACGCAATAAAAAGGAATTGTTTCAATTTTCTGCTCGTCAGTCACTAAAGTTGTATTTAGTTAAAAGATTTGAAAAAAGAAAGAAAAAAATAAATAAATAAAATGTGAATAAAATATACTTACATTTCACTTAATTTCATACATTTTTTTTTTTTTTTTCAAATCCCTTCTCATCTTCCCACCAAACATAGTGTAAATCGTCCATTGAAGCATTAGAGAGAGTTGTGACACGAGACGGCAATGTGTACGATTTGCTTGGAGACACTTTCAGTAGGGAGGTTGGAGGAGGTTACTTGCCTGCTGTGTTCCGATATCTATCATGGGAATTGTATTGTTTGCTGGCTCAAAACTAGTAACTTGTGTCCACTTTATCGCTTTGTGATGCCACACTGATTTAATCTATATACCATATCATAGTACAATTTTTTGTTGTTCTTATAGAATAATTACTTCTTGTTCTAGAATTTTGCTCTACAACTAATTATAGTATGGATTTTTTGATAAATAATTATAGTATGGACTTTTAAAGTTATACTTTTCTCATGTGCTCTTTGGGGGACTCGTTTAGATGGTGATGTAGAACACAAATTTGATTCAAGAATGATGTAATTGCTCATGAACAACTACAAAAATAAATAGCTTGTACATGGCTGCTTAGTTTATCTTCATTTATAATGATGTATCCAAATGCTCCCAAAGGGTTTCTATATAAAAATGCTCAAAGCCATAAAACTATAAGTATTCTCCTTTTTAAAAGGAAAAAAAGAGTATGTTGTACCCAACTAATTAATTTATTTGAACTTCTACCTGTTCACAATGAAGAAAGAATAATTATACCCAATAAGATTAACCTACCTTTCCCACAGAACCATAAAACTACATAGACACTGACAGTTAAATAAAACTAAATACCATGAGGGACAGACAGAGAGAGAGAGAGAGAATTGCAATTGTACAGAAGTTGACCGAAAAGAAAAGAACCTGAAATAACAGTCAGCTTCTCCACCTTTCAAACTGCTTGTATTGCATTGCTCTTCCCTTTACTTACATATGACCTGTTAACTGGAGCACTTGCATGAAACGCTGACCGTCTTGACGGGGCTCCTAAAAACAGGTTTAAGCAAAGCGTTGAAGACTCTATACCTCGCGATTCAGTCTCTCCCAAACTGAGCTGGGACATGCCCACTAGCTCATCTACATTTACTGGTTCTTTCGGAAGTAGAGGAATAGGTCTAAGAACCTGATGACGAGACATCTCTACTGCGCTTTCTTCTTCAAGAGGGGCTGTATTTGATGGCCACAATGGAAATGGAACAGGTAGATGAGCGGGGAAGAACGCAGAAGCCCCTGCATTTGATGCCATTGCAGTTTCTTTGTGGCCTTTGACCTTTTCATCAGAAGTGGCTTCCATGTGTTCAAAGTCTCGATTGAGAGAGAGATTCAACAATGGTAATGAGTGGAAAGGATCAGTATCTACAGCTCGAGAGGGAGGGAGCATGAATTGTTCTTCTGGGACTGTTGGCGGATCTGTGCCCTGACAAATAACATAATAATCAGAAGAAAAAAAATTAATGAAAAAAGAATGATTTGAGGTTATTGGTCAGTAAGACAGAAATCAGATTCGTGTTTTTTTTTGGTCCTTTTTTTTTTTTTTTTGGGTCCAAAAGATTCGTGTTCTACCACTGAAAGTGTTATGGCAAAGGTGAAGATCAGGAAACCTAAAATATTACAACAGCACAAGCACGAGGATTTACGATACATCCATGGGTAAAAAACAACGAAGGAGTTTTCGCTGTGATGTAGAGATTATAACGAGCCTGGTCTTTGTCAAACCATAGCTGACAAGATCATCACCAACCCTAGAACCGCAAAATAACTCAACATAGATAAGGATTCAAAAGTAGCAAACTAAATCAAAATAGACCCAAAATATAAATACAGGGTATTTGCCAATTAATCAGGCCATGTGGCCCACCAGCAGCTAATAATCATCATCCAGTTCAAATTCAAGGCACACCCGCAACAGATATGATAAAAGAATTTCCCAAGACACCATTTATTCCAGCGAGATGATGTATTTCTAAAGAATGTTATGGCAATATGAAACAAGGAAACTGATATAACCAATTACCAATTCCAATGCGCCAAAGTGAAAGGGCAGGGTAGTTTTACATGAATTCACTCAGCTCAGAGTTAATAAGGTTTGATCATTCAAAAGATGTTCTGAAGTGTGAATTTTGAGCTGACAAACTTGAGAGGCATGCCAAACTGGTGCCAGAGGCCATTTGTGTCTATGGTATGTGAATCGCTTTTAAAAGTATGTCGACACATGAGTGTGGTTCATGCAAAATTTAACAAGGCAAGACAAACCATTTCTGGAACCATGTCGAAAAGGCTGGATCGCCTCTTTCTTCGAGTAGCATTACTGTGTCGGATAAAATACTTCTGGGCATGGCTTGCTACTTGGGTAGGAGTCCTTGACGTTACAAAATTACGTGATATCCCACGCCAGTCTCCTTTCCCTAACTTCTGAAGACCAAGTAAGAACAGCCTATGTTCCTCTTCCGTCCATGGTACACCTGGAAACCAAACTTTGTAAATATAAGAGGACATTTATGATGATTATCCGAAAAGAAAGTTTCACACTGCTCTTTATCTTTGTAAACCATTCATTAGGGAAGGACATAGTGAGTATCCTATATGATATTCATAAAATGTAAGATGGCTCTACACATTAGAGAAAATATTCCAGAGCAATACATTAAATGACCCAAGCAAATAAAGCATTCTATTGGTACTTATCTTCTTAAAAGCAAAAACGTGCTATAATAAGCAAGAAACTACTTCCCAAAAGTCAATGAAACACTCCCAAGTTTCAACCGCAAATAGTCGAAAGGTGGAGATCAACCACAGATACTTGCTTAGATGCCTTTTACATGCAGCTGAAATGCTTGACGACAATTTTCACAAGGTATTAAAGTTCATATTTAAAGCAATTTTCTTCAGCAAATGTGATATCTTAAGTACCCTGGATTTTAACTATTTTTGGTTTTAGGTTAGTAGACTTGGTACAGATGAGAAGATACTAAAATCATAAGAAAGATTCCAAAATTAAATATTAAAAAAAAAAAAAACAAACATAGATGGTTGATTTCTCACAAAATGAAATTAACAAGTGTCTCGTATCACTAGTTTAATCAAATTCCAAACCCTTCAAAAACTAAATATTTCACAGTAGTAACAAATGCAACTGCTACCTCATTCTACTGCTACCATTATGCCACTACCACCACCCCCCAACACTGGTGGTGTTGCCACTGCAGCCCTCTGCTGCTGTCACAGCTCATATCAAATCACCATTACCACCCCATTTATTACATTGTTGCTCCTTGTCACCACAAAACATATAACTATTACCATCCGAAAAGAACTCTGCACGTGCATTGTTTGCATCTCAATCAGTAAAGCCATGTAATGTCGTGGAACACTTCGAGTGTTCATGAAAATATAAAGGATTCTACAGTTTCACTATTGGTTGAAATCCTAGAATTCAATTGCAAACAATGTACAACACCAAAAAAGCCTACGAAGACAATCAAATGTAGTAAATAAGAATGCTGAACAATTAACATAGCCTGAAGAAGAACAAAATAATGAACTATATATTTTTACATGATTTTAGAAGTTGTGATGTAAAAGTAAAAGCCACTAGAATATAGTGGAGGCAGCTATAGAAAGAAACGCACAATGAATACAAGCAATTTTAGGAAGGCACCCAACTTGCTTTTTGCTCCAAACTGATAATAGATGAGATGTGCAAAATCTTGTAGTTCAATGATTTTTTTTTAAATTTATTTTTATTGACTAGTTAAACAATAAATTGTCTGATCACTTAGCAACGAAACTAACTACAATAAGTTGAAACATATCACACACTAAATTTGAAAAAGCAGTGGTGATGATGATGATATTCATCCATGATTTGTGTGGAAAGCTTATAAAACAATTGATTTTTAATTTTGTATTCATCTAGTTTGATTCACCATTAGCAAAATAGGAGGCCAAAGAATGATCACGGTTACCTTAGGCCTCGTTTGGCAACTCACTGTTTTGGCCTAAAATTCAAAAAGTCACAAAAAAAATTAAAAAGCCAACAACCTACACCAAAAAGTCAAAGATTCCTTTTTCTCTCTATTTTTTACCCATCTTTTGATAAAAAATCAAAAGTCATTCCAAACGATTCCCTTTTCTCTCTACTAATTTTTTTAATCTCATATTTTAATCAAAAAATCAAAAAATAACTAAAATACCCTATTTCCAAACGAGGCCAGTCTAGATTGACGTGTAATAGCATGGCATGGCAAACGTGTTTCTTTGTCTGTTGTGTAGAGCATGTCAAAATCTCTTTCTTTTCCTCATGTAGGGAGGCAACTATGAAAATGAACCAATTACTCGTATAAACTAACACATAAGATAGAAATCCATCAATGAAATCATTTTTTAGCACACCATGATAGAAATCCATGAATGAAATCATTTTTTTAGAAACAAGAATAAACAAACTCGTATGATTGAAATATTCAGGAGTAATATTGCGATCCAACATGACGTAAGCACAATAATAGTTGTTCACCAAAACCCAGTGAGAAAGCTAGAGAGCTGAAGCACTTGACAGCAGTTGTAAGTGTCCACTTTCAACTCTTTGTCAAGAGCTCCTACATTTTGAACGCCCTTTTAATAATCCCCCTTCAATATCAATAGTTCCAAATTGAAGTATCATTTTCTCAAAATCCTAGTTAGGTGGGAGTATATGAGCGTCAAAATATAATCAAATCTTAACCCAAACTTAAATTTGCTTAAAAAGCCATTAAAAATTCCATCCACCCAAACCTATATTAAATTGAATTTAACTCAAATTTCGAGCCAATTCAAACTTGACACTTGAACAATTTTACCCAAACTTTCCACTAATCTCCTTACTCCAACCCACAGCTTCCACTCAAACTCAACACTTACCCATTTTACTCAAATTTGAGTTTATTCATTGGAGTGCTTCATATCAAATGTTCCATTTTACACAAACTTCTGCTCAATTTTAAAGCATAAATAAAGCGTGGGAAATGGCCAAATCAGCTCAAAATGATTTTAAAAAGAAAATTTTACTACCCATGGAATCAAAGTGCAAGAAAAACAGGTTAAATCTATTTATCAATCAAAGTACCTTTGCTTTACTTTTCTCCGCGGTTTTGAGCTACAGCTAATTGTAGAAATGGAAAGAACAGTAACACTTACCGATAATTTGTACCCTTAGAATGATCATGCCATCAAAATGGTATGACAAAAAAATAATAAAAAATATATTATAAATAAAATCATCATTCACCACCGTAAATGAATGATCATTCCATAGGAGAACTAAGGAATGATCATTCCATTTCATTTTATCTCATTCCATTCCAGCAAACCAAATAGACAATTATAATTTATGCACCTCCATATTGGATATCAAAAAAGAAAAGAAAAGAAAAGCAATATGTGAGACAAAATTAACAACAGTGGTTTTTTTTAGGGTAAATTACAAACACCACCTCGAGATTTGGTGAAAATATAGATTTCCCCTGAGATTCGAGAAATTACATCTCGCCCCTTGAGATTTATATTTTCATAACAAATTGTCCCTTGAAGTTTTTATTTTCATACAGATTCTCCCCTAATTTCTCCTAATTTGTTATGAAAATTTGACCCTTAGAGGGCAATTTGTAATTTCTCAAACCTCAGGGGAATCTGTTTTTTTACCGAATCTCAAGGGGCGTTTGTAATTTGCCCTTTTTTTTAAATAAAAAAAAAAAAAAAAAAAAAAAAAAGTACTTTGATCAAATTTAAAAAATTAATAAAGAAGTCCAACTAGAAATCACAAGACACACACCACCACGTTCATTATTGCATTACACGCAAATTACAAACACTACAATATCCAAATTAAGCTAATAAACAGAGTCAAATCTCAACCTTATCCAAAACATAACCAAACTAAAGAAATCTATTAAAATCATCAGAATTAAATTTAAATTAATAAACCATAAAAATAACAATAATAATTATTTTAAAAAATGATTTGATAGGAATGGAATGGAATCAAAGTACCTTTCTTGCGGCGATTGGTGGCTTGAGCAGGGTCGTCGGAGAGGTATCCATCCGGGTCGGGAATAGGGTCCTCGGAAGGAGAGGTTGTGGGATTGGGTGAAGCGGCGGCGGCGGAGGAAGAGGAATGGTAGTGAGCAGAGAGGTTGCCCATACTCGCACTCTTCTTGATGATTGAGCCATCGGTGAGTCTAACCCCAAACAGCTTCACACAACCACCACCGCCTCTCCAAGGGCATGTTCGCGAGTTGTGCCCCTTGTGGCTGCAATGAGAGCACCGCCGACCCATGCGCACTCCTCCTCCACCACCACCACCACCGCAAAGCCTGACTCCACCTCCGCAGACAAGACGATGTATAGAGATAATAGATGTGTATATATATATATAGAGAGAGAGAGAGAACGGTGGCTTGGGACCTGAAAAACGGTTTGTGGAGGAGAGGTTTTGAGAGAGAGAGTTGCATGTTGTGTTATGAGCATTTTTAGGATGAAGATTTTATTTGAGAAATGACGCGGTAATTAGGGACTGGAGTGAGTTTAATTACGGAATTCTGCTGCGTTATTTTAGTAATTTTTTAAATTTGTAATTAAAATATAAAATAAAATAATTAATATGTTTAAAATAATTTTTTAATTTTTCACGAAAAAATAGAAAGAAATTTTTTTTTTTTTATCTTTTTTATATAATTTATTAGATTTTTAATTTTTTTTTTAATTTTTTAATTTTTAAATTAAAATATAATATTACCAAACCTTAACTTGACGGGACCAACTCGTCGACAGCGCATTGATTTGCGCGAACATCCTTTTTCTTAATTCCAACAAAAAAAAAGGAAAAAAATTGGTAGCTCGAATCTGTGACTCAAAAAATGGCTCGAATTCGAAGACAGAGATAGAGAGAAAGGAGAAAAGAGGAAGAGGGAAGAGGGAAGAGGGAGAGAAGAGAGGAAGAAGGGAGGAAAAAGAGAGAAGAAGAGAAAGAGGAGGAGAGAGGGAGAAAGAGAGAGGAGGAGAGGAGATCACCACCGTCGTCACCTCGCCGCCGCCGGTCTTCGCAGCACCAGCAATCGTCGCAGCACCACCGTCGTCGCCTCCGGCCCCACCTCCGTCTCCTCCTCCTCCTCCCCCTGTGAATATGCCCCCTCCAGTCCTCCTCCTTCCTCCTCCTCCTCCTCCCTTCTCTTCTCCTTCTCTTCTTCTCCACCCTTCTTTTTCGTCTTCCTTCTGCAACAAAAACCAGGAAAAAGAAAAAAAAAAAAAAAAAAAAAAAAGACACCAAAACGACGTCGTTTTGGTGTCGAGCCACAGATTCGAGCCACGAATTCGAGCTACGTAGCGGGGTCGTAAAAAAAAACTTAACGCAGTAGTCTTGTTCGCCCCTTAGGTGGAAATATCCATTAAAAAACCTTTTTTTTAAATAAAATGGTTATTGGGACAATTACAAAAATAAAAATCTAAGGTATAAGTTATGTACGGGGAGTAAATATTCAGACAAGCCCGTATTCCTTTCTTTCAAGCTCCGTTTCTATCCGATCATCTGCATGCACAACAACAATGAGCTAACCGGCGGTGTCTGGCCGGAAAACCCCTCAGACGACCAAGTTAGCACACACTTGAGGATAGAGAGAGTGAGGAGAAAGTTGAGTGTAAGTGTTTCTCTTACCAAATGTTCATCTCCTTGGCATGGGGGGCGCAGACCCGCTTATATACCTTCTGCGCCCCAAATCTACTTCCATTCATCTCTCGACACGTGGTGCTGGTATCCCATCCGTTAGCACAAATCTTTCTGTACATTACCTAACCTAACTACCAGCCCACTCTGCTAGGAGCTCGGCAACCGGGGTACAGCTTCACGACCACCGACATTCAGGCTGCACTTCATGCCCATATGTAGCAATAGCCGAGCTCCGTCCCTATCGTGCCCGACTGCATTCCGGTGAAGTCGAGCTCTGGAAAGGCCACGCCGATCAACCAAAAGCTTTCCTACCGAGCTTCTGGCACGAGCTTCACTGCCGAGCCAAAGGTGTATGCCTTCTGGCCGAGCAACACAAGTTGCACGGTCACCACTGGTGCGAGTAGTTCGGCCACGGGCCGAGCGGCCCCAACTCTGAGCAAGTACTAAGCTATCTCGGCCCAACATGCCCTTGGGCCTTCAACATGCTCGGCTTTAGCTTCACTGCCGAGCCAAAGGTGTATGCCTTCTGGCCGAGCAACGCAAGTCGCACGGTCACCACTGGTGCGAGTAGTTCAGCCACGGGCCGAGCGGCCCCAACTCCGGGCAAGTACTAAGCTATCTTGGCCCAACATGCCCTTGGGCCTTCAACATGCTCGGCTTTTATCTCAGCCCACTTCCGGCTCATAAATCTCCCTCTCAATTGCCCCTTAATTCCATTCGCGCAAGCGTGACTAGGATTATTTATCCTAACCGGGGTAACACTTCCTCGGTCTTTGGTTTTGCAAGAAGTCAACCGAGCTGGTTTTCTTGCTCGGCTCCTTGATTCACGCGGTCGACGCCTCGTCTGGCCTTCCTGTCTCTTCAACTCTGACGCTGCCATTAATGGGGGCACGTGTCAATCTCTTATTGGTCCTCGAGCAGCCAACCCAATCGTCCCCTCAAATTTGAATTTGGGCTGCTTCTCCCCCTCTATAAACATACCCCTTCTCGCTTCCTTTCATTCCTACTGCCTCTCTTCAAGCCTTCGACGTTTCAGAGCTCAAGCTCCGCCAGCAAAACTTTGCCCCTGCCATTCCTTGCATTTGTGCTCGAAGAAGTAGGCCCTGCCCTCAACTGGTAAGTTCCTTGAACCTCGTTTTTGCTATTTTAGTCGGCATTTCGCATATTAGGGCACTAAATCCGTAGGTTTTAGGACATAGGCACCCAAAACTGTCCCTAACCCTTCACTCTCCTTGCTGTTCTTCATTTTCTCTGATGAACACTGAGGATCTGGGGCGGACCGGGCTCTAGGTCTTCCTTTGATCCAAAAAATCATTCGGACCGAACAAATACGCAGTTTGTCCCAACCTTAGTAGAAACCGGGCTAACCAAATGACTTGCCTGTTCAACCGGGCTAACATCTGGTCCGCTTGGGCAACCGAGCTCCTTGATTAGCCTTTACGACCGAGGTGGTTTGGCACTCTTCATGACCAAGCTAAAGTCAAGCTCGCTTTGCGCGATCGCGCTCCCTCTTACACTTGCCATCCTTTTCCTGCAGAGTCCAAGGGGACCACTGACCATTACCGAGGCTCAGACCGAGCAGCCATCAATCACCAGACAGTGCCAAACCTCCTCAGCCCAGCCAAATTAGCCAGTTACACATGGGGAAATTTCGCTTCCTCGTCGATACTCCGGCTGCGCTGGCCGCGTTCAGGAAGGAGTACGGTATCCCGGCCGACGTCCACCTTGAGCTCGCAAAAATTAAAACAACGCCTTGGGGGAGATTAGAACAGTGCCCCTTCACCGTGCTGTCTATCATCGAAGGAGGCCTCCGCTTCCTGGTCAACCCATTGATGACCGAATTTCTGCACCGAACTAGGTTTGCACCCACACAAGTATCAACAAACACTTACCGAATTATCAACGGCGTCCACGAGCTAAACAACCGCCTAGGCACCAACTTAGGTTTAGCCGAGATACTGAGGCAATACAAACTTGGGCACACCGGCGATGGCCTCACTTATTATTTAAAAATTCGACCGGGCAAAGAAAAACTAGTGACCGGCACCCTAGATAAAGACTTACACAACGATGACTTTTTCTGGGTGTCTGGCAACTATGAAACAGCCGACGTACCGGGCTGGTCAATTAGCAAGAACTTCGGTTCCACAAGTAAGCCGCGCTAATTTGCTCGGTCAATTGCCTTTCTCCAATATTCTGTACTTAACCATTTTTCTTGTTTCCTTTGCAGCGATTTAAACCTTGCAAGCCAACTATCAATATCTCAACGTAGAAGCCATCCGGACCGTGCTCCGCTACAGCCACTGGGATTGTAACGAGCTGCTCGGCTACACTCCAACTTACAGATATTCAGCTCCACGCCAGAGCAAAATGACAGACTTTCTCCGTGCACCATCACCTTCTCCAGACCCAACTCTACCGGATGTGCCGCTAATCCGGTTGACCAAAGAACAAGAGATAGCCAAACGAAGCCGCATCAAGAACCTCCTCACAGCCACTACAACCGAGATACCGAGCATCATTACCCATTTGCCAGCTGCCGGTCAATCCAGCGACCCCGTGGTTGCCTTGGCATCTCCAGCCGCCGGGCAGGCCAGACAAGAGACTCGTCGGGCTGGAAAAAGACCTCGCGCAGACCCATCTGCCGAGCTGGTTGCCGAGCTAACCACCAAGCAACCCGCTGTCACCGCCGACCCTATACCATCACGGCGACCGCAGCTAAAGCACCGGGGTAAAGACATCCTAGCTAACGCTTCCGTCAAGGGCGATAAGGAGCACTTGCTCGCTTTCGACCTTTCAAAAGCCCTTCTGCTACCGAGCGACGTGGTTGGCAGCGACCACGTCCCTGACACCCGGTTGGTGAAATCCGCTGTGAAGTCCATGACCAGGGTAAGAATCTCAATCTTCTACTGAAATTTTTACAAGTGTTTGCACAGTTTCTTCTCTGATCAAATTTTCTTCTTACAGGCCATCCAAAAGCAACACTTGGTCATGGAGCGCATCCATCGACTACGGCAAAAGGCGAATGACACCGCCGGCCAAGTCCAAAGCCTTCAAACCGAGCATGGCCGAGCAAAGTCCTCACTTCAAATCGCCAATGCTGACAACAACAGGTTGCTCGGCCAGCTTGATGAAGCTAAGAAGAAGAGGGATGAACTCCAGGCTGAGCTGGATGCACTCAAGAAGTCAATGGAGAAGGAGTGCAAAGATGCCAACAACGCCGGTTGCAAAGAAGCCAAGGACAACTACAAGAAGCAGGTCTTCGCAACTCAAGACATTTATTTCAAAGCGGACTGGAAGTCTGCCTGCGAACATCTCGGTCAAGGTCCTGATACCGACATGTTTGCCACTCCGCCGCCTGTCTTCCTACCGACCTATCTCGTTCCATATGCCAACGACGTCTTCAGCGCGTTGCAGGCTGCGGCCGAGGAAGGTCTTGAAAAAGAGGCCGAGGCAGATGCTGAGGGAGAGGACCACCAAGAGCACGAGCAGCCCGACCGAAGTGAGCCCGGTGCCCAAGACCAATCTCCAACGGTCAACTTGGAGGCAACCGAGGATGAATTCATCAACCTTTCCCCCTTAGCTTAACTTTCTTTTTTCTTTGTTTTTTGCTTTGCACATGTAACCGGGCTCTTTGCCCCTCCTTTTGTATTTCTTTTTTCATTAATGAAAAAGATCGAGTTTTACCAAGTGTTTGCACGGTCCTAGAGCTGAGTAACTTCAACCGAACAAAATATCTCGGCAAGACAAATTTCATCAATTAACTCATATAACTGAAATAAATCATCTCGGTAGTACACCCAG